CCCCCCACCCCCTGGATGAGCCGCCACTCCGTCCTGCTCCTGCCCCGCCCAAGCAGCCCCTGCCCCAGCCCCAGTCTCTCTCCCTGTGGAGGCTTTGATCTGCCCTGAACCATGTCCCTTCCCTTCCCCCTCCCCCCACACCAGACTTATCAGCCGGAGGCAGTTATCCAGGCTGCTGGGCTGGTATCAGAAATCGGATCAGTATCGGCCGATATGCCTCCTTAAAAATTGGCTATCAGTACCAGCTGCAAAAATCTCTATCAGTGCACCCCTACTTTTAAAAGTACCTTTGCTCTATTTAATATGTAGTGTTTTAATAAGTGACACCCAGATTTACTTTCTTTTCTATAAAGAAGTGATGAACTGTTCTGATAAATAAACATGTGTTATTAACTTGTATTTCCACCATATGGTGCTATCCAACTGCAAACTGGCATAGCTACCCTTTAAAAAAAGATTAAATAACACTGATTGAGGAATTATAACTTCACTATATAATAATATCTTTCTTGTCGTTTTAGTATCCTTCCTGTTAGGAGGAGACACATGCAGGACTTGAATAACAACAAAGATATAGACTCTGAGGTGCTCAAATTACAATTACTGTAGTGATACTCAGGCTTTTGCTTAATGGAGGCTCTACATATCTTAGCTCAGTGGTTCCCAAAAGGGGTAAGTACACTGATAAAAAAAATTTTGGGACGATACCAGTGGCTGATTATTAATGAGCTATATTGGCTGATATGCAACCCAGCAGCTTGGAAAGCAGTGTCTGGCTGGTAAGTCTGTTGGGGAGGGAAAGGTCATGGGGAGGGGGCAGATCGAGACCCCCAGAGTGAGGGAGGGAGTGGGGCTGGGGCAGGGGCAGGAGCTGCCCAGCCGAGGCGGGGTAGAGCACAGGACAGAGCCATGCGGCTCATCGGGGGGTGGCTCCCACTCCCCGGATTTGTGTGTGGGGCTAGGGCAGGTTCCCGCTACAGGTCAGGGGCAGGGGCGGCACTGGGCTCTTCCCAGTGGGAGGGTTGGGCCGGGGCTACTCATGCATCCCTGGTTTTGACTTTGGGAGATTCTCCCAGAGGTTTTGACCCCGGGAGATTCTGGGGTTAAAAAAACCCACGCTGAAAAAAAGGGGCAGCACACATGGCAGCTGCCTTCACCTGGAAAACACCACCCAAATACAGAGCTTTCCCTGCCAGAGCCATGCTCTGGCTGCCAACCAGGATCCCTGCTGCAGGAACAGTGTGGCTGCAGCTTTCTGAGGCCCTCAGGTAAAGCTGCTGGGGCCAGCACAGTTGCTGGCTCCAGCCCAGCCTCCCCTTTCCTACCTGGGGTAATCTGCTGTGTGCCAGAGCATGCGTGGCACAGGCATTCCTGAGGGACAAGTAGCAGCGGCACAAAGTGTGCTGCTGCTACTTGTCCTCCGGAAAACACTCAATTTCTCTCATCTAGATGTGGCCACACTGTTTTTTCACTTAGTCCTTACTTAAATTTCCACTGGGAGGCTGCTTAAAAAACAATGGAGTGAAGACTCAGGACCTCAGGATGTGGCCTTGAAAGAACAGTCTTTAAAGGTCTCTACTCAGAGCCTCGTTTCTCATTCTGGCTCATTGATGCCCATCTCTTCCAATAAGATTCCAATATTGGAAGTCTATCAAAGCTTTCCTTTAACTGGTTGCTGAACACATCATGGTATTCCCTCTTCATGTACTTCCTCTTACATCCACATAGTACTTTCAGCCAAAGAGTAAGAGGATTATCCTAGATTTCACTCTGTCTGAGAAGTCTGGCTGGCTCTGAGTATTTTTGTTGGGCATGTATGTAGTTTAGACCCATTTAGTATGCAACGTCACCACTGCTGCTTAAGTTTATGTTATACACTGAAGGGCTCCAAGTTATATGACAGAGATGATTCTTACCCAGAGAATGTAAAAAAAAATTTTAAAAATTAAAAATGAACCTACTGCAAAACATTTTCATAATCAATATAGTTTTAAAAGAAAATGTATGCCATGTCCTAAAATTCCCTAAATTTATTTTACATAGTTTCCAGTACTACAATTAAATACTTAAATAAAACTATTACATACCATCAGATGTGTCTGTCTGGGGAGTGTATCCTTCAGATAAATTAAAGGTCCCATTATCAGTCCAAGATACCTCTGATACATCTGTGTCAGACACTGATAGCTCTTTGGCAACAACTGCAGGACTAACCTACATAAAAAAAGCATAAAATGTGATGTTTTCATACTCAGTCCATTGTACAGAAACGTTTTTCTCTTTATGTTTTGAAATTAGACAGGGAAAGCACAAATAGTAAAATGAATCTGCTCTACAATGGTTTCAGCTAGTTTTGCAGATAAGAGTCTACCAGAACAGAAGAGTGTCAGCTGCTGTGGAACTGTGGTACAGTCGTTATACAGCCATTAATGTGTTTTCCAGGTGAAGGCTCCAATGAGCCCCAAATATATGGAGGGACAGTAGGCACATGTGGGGTTAATTACAGTGGGGTACATCTACAAAGCCCAAAGCAGTGCCTTGAGAGATGCTCAGACACCTGAGCTAGTTCTGAACAGAACTGGAAGTGCTTTATCTACATTAATTAGCCTGGCTCCTTCAGGTGGTGCTAATGTTGCTCCTGGTACACAAACAAGCTTATTGGCAACTGCATTATATGATGTAGTTCCCTGGGTAAAGCCCTCAGGGTGGAGATTATGAGTCACTTTAAGAATATGATGCAATACATATGGCTGGCTGGGGTCTTGTTTAATAAAAGCATGTCTGGCATTAAGGGGCAAAAATGTTTCGTAGAGAACTCAGAGAACAAGTAATCTTGATGTTCTTAATAGTTTAAAATACAAAATAAATAGAAATAACTGACTGAAAACAAATCACCTTAGGACACAAAGCTGATATATCTAATTCACTCTCATCTTCTGTGGATTTTGTTTTTGCTGCTTCTGAAAGAAATAAATTGTAGTCTGTTATTTTTCATCCTATCCTGATGACATCCATTTATGATCGACTGCAGGCTAACATGGCTGTCTCAATCCATTTATGAGTCTTTTCTGTGGCCTCTGTTGAACAGCATGAGCTACAGCCCCTTAAATAATTCAGGAATGTTAACAGCTTCATTTACTGACTTCATGAATGATTTATATAATCGGTGTAGTGATGTAAACGTCCTCATTCTGAGGCTGAATGTTTTATAAGTAATTTCTGTAGCTGCTATAGCTGAAAAAGCAAAATTCCTTCGCTCTGCCACCCTGATCACTTATCTGCCTTTGCTAAATGTATTCCTTTCAACAGCCTCTGCTGCTTGTTGTTCTGGGAAGTACTCTTACAACATATATTTCTTTCTGAAACAATATTGCCAGTATAGGTTATTACCAATGAAACTATTCAAATAGCTGCTATTCAAAATTACAGCTTCCACCTTGCCGCCCTCATGGTAAGATGGCTACACCATAGCGATTTAAAACAGACAATGGAATGTATATTTATAGACTGCTTTCCTATGGTTTAAAGGCTGCCATTTTCTGGATATATTTGGCTTCATCCACAGAATTTTCACCATTCTTAGCACAAGTTATTTTTTTTCCTATACTCACTTCACCTATCTTAAAATTGCTATTGAGAGAAGTCTAGCAAATCTGATAAACTCTTTGTTTGGTCCCTGGTGCATCCAATATATTACACTTATTCAAATATAAGATGAAGTTTTTCCCCCAGTCAGCATATCATCTTAAATTTGTATACAAGAAAACCTCCTCATTAAATACACTATTATTAAGCTGCTGCTGCCAGAAGCAGCATGTTCTCTGTAATGGAAACCAACTTCAGGCTTGACCTATAAAGCACAAAGCCAATATTCTTTAAGCCCAACACTTCAGTGGATACTAAACCACACCAGAAGAACAGCTATCCCTGAGAACACTTAAGGAAAACTGCCTTCCTGGACCCAGATACATAGTGTTTCCCATGCCAGGTAAGTTGGAAACCTACCACAAGGATAGGTTAGTGCAGCTCATCAATAAGATATAGAGTCCATTGATCAGTCCCCCGCAGTGTTAACTCTTTTGCAACAACTACTACACTGCATATATTTCAACTTTCTTTCACTCCCACAGCTGAGCTGCACCTTTCTTTCCCATTTCCAATTATTTCTTTTTCTTCACCACCCTTAAATATCTGGCAAACATCACTAAACATCTATGTAAGATGAGAGGCTCTGTCATCCCCTTTGTTGGCCTGTTGCATGCGATTGGTGTGGCCCCACCCTCCACGAAATCGAGCCAGACCAGGTGACCTCATGCCTCACTGCAAATAAAATTTTGGAGGATCCCAGGACTCATAACAAGAATACCCAGTTCCAGTCACAAGTGGGGAACTTGGATCCTTTGTGGGGAAGGTATCTGGAGTACACACACATACTGAACAGAGCTGGGCTGTGGGGTCACCATGGCTTGATATACTCTTGATTCTGCTGGGGCCCAGCTCAGTGAACCATATGATTAATCATAGGCTTTTTGGCTTTGGACTAATATGCATAGTTAATACTAAGTATACATAGGTACAAAAGTGCTGCTAAAACTGTGGTTATGAAGTACCTGTGCTGAAACTTAAAGCAGTTTGCAAAAAAGGTAAAATGCATCAATTATGAACTAAGTCTATAGGTACCCAGAGTAATTTGCCTATACACAAATTGCTACAGGGAAGTTTATTTTAAGGTCAGTGTGTTTTGGTCCTCTGTGTTTCAAAGTTGCCCCTGCCTTTCACATGCTCAGAGTAAGGGAGGGTGGGAAGGGAAGTGGGGGAAGGGGCCTAAGAGGAAAGAAGGTGGGGTGACAAAGGACAAGGGAGCTACTTGACCCCCCAGTTGTAGCACTGGAAGGTAGAAAAATTCAAGCCAAACCTCTGATAATTAGATTCTATATCTGAAAAATTATAACAATTCCCCCTGTGGTGCACAGGGGAAAATCCCTGAGGACTGTAAGAGGGGCAACACTGTGCCCATCTTCAAGAAGGGGAAGAGGGAGGACCCAGGCAACTATAGGCCGATCAGTCTAACCTCCATCCCAGGGCAAATTCTGGAAAAGCTCATTAAAGAATCTATGTGTGATATGCTTGCAAGAAGGTAAGATTCTGAACGAAAGCCAGCATGGCTTTGTTGCAGGTAGGTCTTGTCTTACCAATCTTATCTCCTTCTACGACCAGGTCTCTTGCCACCTGGACACAAGAGACATGGTAGACGTTATATACCTAGACTTCCAAAAGGTTTCTGATTTAGTATCCCACAATATCCTTGTGGGAAGACTGGAAGATTGTGGGCTGCTTGACGGTACAGTGGTTGAGAAACTGGCTACAGGGTAGGACCCAGAGAGTTCTCATTAAACAGATCTGTGTCGTCCTGGTGTGAAGTGGCCAGTGGTATCCCCTAGGGGTCCATGCTTAGACCAGTGCTTTTCAACATCTTTATCAATGATTTGAATGATTTCACTGAAAAGCTCACTGGCAAAGTTCGTGGATGACACCAAGTTATGGGGCAGTGTGGTCATGTCAGAAGATATGTTGCAGATACAGGCAGACCTGGACAGGCTTGAGAGCTGGGCAGACCAGAACCAGATGAAGCTTAACACTTCCAAGTGTAAGGTGCTTCATTTGGGAGCAAACAACCCTCAACATGCATACAGGCTCAGTGGTGACAGCTTGATTTGCACCACAGCCGAAAGGGACCTAGGGGTAATGACTGACTATTGCATGAATATGAGCAGTCAGTGTGAGGCAGTGGTCAGCAGAGCAAACAACATGCTGGCATGCATCAACTGATGCCTCTCATATAAAACTAAGGAACTGATACTGCCACTGTATTCAGCACTGGTGAGACCACAGTTGGAGAACTGCGTCCAGTTCTGGGCACTGCACTTCAATAAAGACATGGAAAAACTTGAGAGGGTCCAGAAAAGAGCCACCTGTATGATCAGGGACTTGCAAGGCAAGCCATATGAGGAAAGGCTGAAGGACCTGGGCCTCTTTAGTTTAAGGAAGAAAAGGCTGAGAGGGGACTTGATACTGGCTTACTGCTATATCAGAGGAGTGCATCAGGAGCTCGGTGAACAACTGTTCACTAGGGCACCCCCAGGGAAGACCAGGACCAATGGATACAAACTTCTGGAAGGCCACTTCAGGCTTAATACCAGGAAAAACTCCTTCACAGTCAGGGTGTCCAGACTGTGGAATAAACTCCCTCCAGAGGTGGTGCATTCATCTACCCTGGAGATTTTTAAGAGGAGACCAGAGGGTCACCTTGCTGGGGTCACCTGACCCTAGCTATCTTCCTGCCTAGAGTGGGGCTGGGTGGGGGGGGTGGCGGGCAAGACCCAGTGATCTGCAAGGTCCCTTCCAGCCCCTAACAATCCATGAATTTATGTATGAAAAAACCTACCAAGTTTATAAATTTTCCATAAATAAAATCTAATTATTGGGGGCTGTCTTAAATTCAGGTTCATCTTAGATTTGAGTAAACACAGTATAAAGAGTGACCATACATTTTTGCCTTATCCTCTTCCTATGCTTTTACTTCAGTCTCTTTATTTGACCACATTTTCTTATTAAAAGCAGTTAACTGGAAGAAGCACTGGAGCCCAGCATAAGAGCTGACAAATATGTGACACTGGTTCAATGCAATTTTTACTTATTTTCAAACTTCCTGTGTACACACAGCAGGTCAAGGTACAAGTTATGCTTCCCTTATTTCTTGATTTTAATTTTAAAATGTAATATATATGAAAAAATCAGTTAGGGCAAGAGTAAGAAAATCTACATATAAAACTTTTCTTCCCCCTGAAATAGATTTATTCCCTAAAGCCTAATGGAATCTGCTGTAATCTACATGTTTGAAAGAAACTCAAGTTTGACGGGAATTCTTTTTATCAGAATATTTCCTTTCCCATTTCCATTACAGTTCTGATTAGTTTGTGGGGATTGTCTAACTGCAATTCTTAAATGCATATGGAATATTCAGAGCATTTATTCTAATATGTGAATGTTTCTTTTCTCTAGTCTGGTTAGAGACAAGTGGATTTGGATACTGATGTTGGATTCCAGTAACAAACTGCAGGTTCTATTTCTGGTTCTGTACTACTTGGTGCATCTTCCTGAGCAGTTTTCTAGATTTCTTCGGACAAGGTTCCCAAAGGGGCATAACTTACATTCCCCTACCTCAAATTTGGATGCGTCTGGGAAGAAAGAGGGGTGACACCTATTCCAGACAACAAGAAATACTGAAGGGAGCATGCAACTCAAATGCTGTCTCTCTCAGGATTACACACCTACTTGCAAGCCCTGAGTTAGGCACCTATGTCAAACTGTGATTCACAACTTGAAAGGAACTGCCTAGTTTTAGGCGAGCAAGTCATCTCTTTGGGTCAATGCACTCTCCTGTAACGGGAGGTGGGTGATGTGAGTTTTAACTCTGTCTAGGTGAGGAGGCAACTGAACCTACGTGTTCCACCTCCTGAGGCACATGCTTTTATGCACAAGGGTGGGCACCCTCTCCATTTTTTAATTACATTATTTCAGGGCACTGAACTGAATACAGTCAAGTGGTTACTGACTAGATGGGCTGCTTCATGATTTAAATGTTTGGACACTTAGTTTGTGAATTGAAAATAACCTCAGGTTGGGGGAGATGCATTTAAGTGCTTGACTCGGCAAGATGTCAGTGCCTCAGGGCATATGCAGTAGCAAAACTTTAAGTACCTCATTAGGCTTTCTGTAAAAACATAGAAGTAACAGTTTCTGGGTGTCTAAGCAGGTTGGTGGCATAAGAGACTGGTTTTTTGGACTGAGGTGCCTAAGTCATATTTTAGGTACCTAAGTTCCTTTGTACATTTCATCCCCTTGTGTTGTCCTCCTGAAGGGGATAATGCCCCCTCATTAAGTCATTGTAAGCCTTAAATAAATTGGTAAAAAAATGTGAAATAAGGATGTAATTTTATATTCTCTCTTTCAGTAACAGTTTTTTGTTCCTTCTCTCAGAGTAAATATCTTAATAGCAAAATAAATAATGAGCACATGTAAGGTCCTTAATTCCAAAGGATATCAATAATTAAGTCACACAATATACCACAATGGGAAAAATAGAGGCACAAAAGTTAAGTGATCCAGTCACAGCAGCGTGATTTTCCAGGGAATAAATTCACGGGTCCTGAAATCCGAGTCAGAATTGTGATCTAACTGCTAGTTTTCATATGTGTAATAATGTAAATAGAACCCATGTACTTTGAAGTATGTGCCAAGTTCAAAAAAATCTAGATAATCATATGTTTTATACATCACAACTAGAAGGTTTCCTGAATTTACAAACCAGTAAAATCAAACTTACAAAATCAAGTATGATGAGCAAAAATCAGTCCTACCTTGTTTCTTTCTACATGAGTAATTTTTAACCCTATTTTGACCTCTAATATACAATACTAGTCCAGCCTAAACCTGGTTACTATCTCTTAGCTAAAATTCTAATAATCCCCACTTCAGCTACTTACCAGATCGTTCTCTTTTCTTTTGGTTGATATAATCCCCAATTCCAAAATCCAGTTTCAGCAGAACTGACTTAATTTTGCTGCACACTTTCTGCCCAAATTCATTGCACTTGAAGAAAGGACATAAAAAGGCACAGAGTACTGCAATAAAAATATAAAGAGAAGTTGTATTTAAATATCTCTGCTTGAAGTACTGAATAAAGATTCTACAACAGATTTCATCAAAATGAGGAGTAAGTTTTATAAAACTGAAGCATCAATAAATGTCCACATCAAAGCAGCTGCTCGCTCTATCTAGTTCCCAACTATAGTGTCTAGCACAATGGACTATGCCCCCTGATTAGGATTCTAGATGATATTATTTAGAGTACTTTTAAGACTGGGATCCCTATTTCCTGCTCTGTTACATGATATCATGTCTCTCAACTATCTTGACTATACCTGTATGGACAGTTCCCATACAATGGCAAACTCCTTACTCTTCCTTCTCTCAGAATCTGAGATAAAAAGTCCTAATAGCATATACACCATTGTATTTGGACACTGTAGGCATTTATACATGTACTTTTTTGCACTGCAACATGCCAGAGATACAGTGTGTCAGAGCAGACTTGATTAATTGAGTTTGCTCCGCATGTGAGTTGACGTGCATGGCGCTGCATCGCATGCAGTTGTATAAGTGGCAAAATGTGTGTCAGTGTGGAGAAAATGGTGGTGCACTTTGAACTAAAACACCTTTGATGTGTTTTAGTTCAAAAGCATGCCAACACCATTTTCTCAGCACTGACACGTGCATTTTGCTGTTTATACAAATGCATGTGCCACAGCACTGGGTGCTTTTAAAAGTGCCCAGTGCTGCAGCACAAACATGTGTACAAATGTCTTGTTTGGATACAGCAAATAATATAGCTGTCAGGTAGCAACATCTGAAGAAAGTAGTAATGGTAACAGGACAGTCTGTCAGCGAAACCTACCATCAGCATCTGAAGTTATCACTTTCTGAGAAAGGAAAATGTACTGTGAAAAACTGGGAACAGCACATTCTGACCCGTTTTTAAGAGTATTGGCTCCTATGAGAAACCAACACTATCACAAGGGAGTTTGTGGTCATAGTCAGGGTTGCCAGCTGACCATAAATTTATGGATAGTCTGTGAAAAACAAGGTTAAAAATGCCTGTCTGTAAAAAAACAAAACAGAGCTGACCGTAAAAGACAAACCAAACAAACCAAAAACAAAGCAACCAGAAGCTTGACTGAAGATCCCTGGGCAGAAAAATGTGGGAGGTAAAGCACTGGACAGACAGAATTGAACAGCACCACAAGCATCCCACAGGGAGCATGCTCAGATGGCTTTGTTGCCCACAGAAGCCTCCATAGCCTCCCACACACGCCTCATCTCTCCCCCTGCCACCCCCACAAGCTAAGTGCTGTTGCTCCTGTGTTGTTCCATTACCTGCCTGTAACACTGCTGAGTTCCTGCTTTCAGGGGAACTGTGCCAGGACAGGTAGGGGGAGAGAGGGAGGGGAGGCAGGGGCCAGGACCAGCAGTGGTAAGGCTGGGGGTAGGTAGCAGGATAGTATGGGGTACTGTTGGGGGCATCAGCATGTTAGGATAAATAAGGGATCCCTGAAGCAGGGGCACCAGAGTGTAAAACCATTCCTGCAGTCAAGTGGGGTTGCCAACCGAAGATTTGTTTTTAATTATGGTTGGTGTTAGATATGATGCAGCTGAACTGTGTTGTGCTACAACTTTAGCTGACAAGCTGAAAAACTTGTAAACTGAAACCAGATAAAGCACATCATTAATCAAGAGCCATATACTGTACTATTCATCCCACAGTATGTGAGATAGCATTACAAACATACCACACACAAGACATGGGTGAACAGACTATACTTACACAGAAAGTAGGACAGTACAACTCCAGGAACGTAACTTCCCAAGACGGTGAAAAATGTGCACACACTGCAGACTAGAAGGCAAAACTAACAACAGAACACATCAGAAATGACGATCAGAATCCATAATCCCATGACAATATTTACAACAGTGCAATAGAAACAATTCTCTAGAAAAGCAATATTATTAATTACATTTAATTAAAAAAATATTTTTGTCCTGATTTACATGTATTTGTACAGTGTACGTAGAGGTGATGATCTATAATAGCTTAAAATCAAGTCTTACTCTTGTATATTGTGGAGGGGGGTGACAGGTGCCCCACCCCCAGGTCGCCATCTTGGGACTGGAAGTCCCGCCTCCTAACCTTTGCCATCCTCCCCCTTCTCCCTGCCCCTGGAAGTACAGTGCAGAAGGGGTACCCACAGAAGGGGCACACTTCTTTAAAAAAGTTTGAAAACCCCTTATCTGCAACATTCATTAATTTGATTTCAAAACATTTTTTAAATACTTTTTTGAAAGTTCATTTCAAGTATAAAAATACATTTTTGAAAATGTATGTTTGTGCAGTGTACATAGAGGTGATGATATACAATAGCTTAAAATGAAGTCTTACTCTTGTATTTTGTGGAGGAGGTGGGGGGCATGGATATAGGTTTGTGGGGAGCTGTAGGTATGTGGGGTGTGGAGGAGGGTGTGGGTGTATCTGTGGGGGGTGGACAAGGGTGGGGGTGGAGTGAGGGAGCATGTGGGTGTGTGTGGATATGAGGGGTATGAGTGGGTATGGGGTATGTGAGGGGGCTGTGTGGGAGGGAGGGTGGCTGGGGTATGTGAGGGGGTATGGGTGGCTGCGTGTATGGCAGTGCGAGGGGGGGTGTAAGTGCATGTGTATGGTTGTGTGTGTAGGGGACTTACCCTATGAACACCACCCCCCCCACCAGTGCGGCCCCATACTCCTAGGTCTAGCAATGCAGCCAGGAGCCATGTGGTGCTGGAGCAATGCGGAGGAAGAAGGCAGGGAAATTGCTGGGGGTGGGGCAGGGCTGGGCTGCTGTGCACTGCTGCCGGCTCCCCCTGGGTCCTACTGCCCCTGGCTCCTGTCATCTTTGACAGGCAGCCAGGAGCAGATAAATATTAATTTTCTAAATTTTTTAGGGGCCTCGCAGGCTGGATAGAATACCCTGGTGGGCCAGATTCGGCCTGTGGGCCATTTTTGGCCACCCCTGTTCTATACTTATAAACAGAAGAATAATATAGTCTACAGAACAGATAAGATCTCCTTATAGCCCATGGTATTTACATAATATTTCTGTAATGATTTCTGAGTTCAATCACAATTAGTCTGAAAATACCTATATACACTCAGAAATGGTACGGATTTTTCCTATTTGTAAAAGTAGTAAATGAATGAATCTGTCTATTACAGGAAGCAGATTTCACCTCTACTGGGAGCTCCAACACAGTGTATACTGCACCCTGTCCCAATTCTGGTGTTGTAAAAGTGGGTTGAGAGCCCAGCAGTTAAAAGAAGAGGAGGCTTGCTGCTGTAAATCTTCCCATGGCGTAGCTTTTGTCTGTCCAATAAGATGTTACAGACAGAATCTAGCATGGTATCTTTATTTTGAAGAAGAGACAATAGGAACATTTGCTTATCGCTGTTTGCAAAGACATGAATGTGAGACATATGTCCGATTCTCATAAAAACAGGATAAAATCACTTATCTTATTTACTGAACTTACCTTGCCAGGATTCTGCTCTTTGAAGTGTGACATCTCTTCAAGAAATATAAACAAATTCATCAGTGCTTCAGCAATACATTGATTTATTCGGGGTCTGTAGTCTGATTTGGAACTGACAACTTCCCAACTGAAAAGGAAAAAAACGCTTTTTGTAAGAAGTTAAAAAACAAAGCTTTCTGTTTCAATAAGCTTCAGGTATTCTAGATTAGAGCAGTATCCCTCAAATTGTGAATCAATGCATTATATACATTGTTAAACTAACATAAAGCAGGTATGTTAGTGGATGTCTCTAAAGTATCCTAAGACTTAGTGCACTAAAATATGAACTTTTTGCTCATGTAAACAAGCACACCAGGAATTATTACTTATTCATGCTGGACCAATGGAGAGCTTTAACTTCAAAGCTAGCTCTGACCAAAATAACACAAGTAATCAAATATCAAACTTGACTTACAGATGTTTAATTTTAAATAAATCATTATCAGAGTCTTTTTCACAACATGGCGTATGGATAACTTCAAATTTAGAAATCTCACCTATTGTATAATATTTGCATTAATTTATTCTTCTTTGATTTTTTTAATTATGCTTGCAAATCTGATATTTTAAAATAGATTATTTTTCTACCTTTTTATAGAAGATAACCACATGTTGAAAGCTTGAGATTTTAATTTACATCCACACCAACTTTTAATTTATTTTATTATATCCTTGTAAAGTACTATAGGTATTTTACCACACCTGTTCTACAGAAAACTTAGACACAGAGGCTTTAAGGGATTTGCCAAAGTTACACGGGTTATCAGAGGCACAGCAGGAAATGGAATTGAATGCCAAATCCCTAAACACCTGTTCCCTGCTGGAATGAGGATGTTCAGTTTATCAAAGCTAGTCCTGACTGGAATGGGAACGTTAAGTCATTGCACCTGAATGCAATGCGTTACATATTGCATGCACACAGTTTAAAAGGGCCTGCCAAACAGCAAAAAAGCCCAGTTAGGCTCCGGAGTGGCAAGAGACGTGCGGGTGAAACCCCGCTGCACCGCCGCCCCCCCGAAACCCCCCAGACACCTCAGACACCCCCCAGGAGCCGCAGAGCCCCCTGCCGACCCCCAGCACAACTGGAGGCAAGCGGGGCTCATGGTGGGAAGGGGTTAATCCCTCTTTGAGTGGGAGGAGGCGGCTGCGTGGAGCCGGGCTGGGTCAAGCCTCTGCCCAGGCCCCTACTTCGCCCAGCCCCCCAGGGAGCCGTGCAAACAGGCTGCGCAAACAGGTGTGCTTGTCTGCCGGTGCATGAGTTAGCGTGGAGTTCGTGCAGGAGGGGGCGCAGGAGGGCCCGAGACCCTGCCTGCGAATCCACCAGGGTAGTCAGTCCCAGCCATAGCCAGCCTACCAGAGGCACGACACAGATGGGCACTCGCCGCACCTCGAGGGTTCCCTCGGGCTCTGCGACCCCCCCCCCCGGGCACCTCAGAGACTGCCACCCAGTCGGAGCTCATGGTTCCAGGCTCCACGCAGATGGAGCCCCTGGCTCTTGGCTGCAGGGGCTGCCTGTCCCCTTTTCAGGCTCTGGGGCCTGGGAGCATGGCCACCTCCCCGTGTGGGGTCTGCTCCCTTTTAGGGTCTCTGGCACGTGAGCTGGAGGAGCTCCAGGCCACAGTCCAGAGACTACGTGCCATCAGGGACTATAAGCAGGCGACTGACTCCTACTGCCAGGCCCTTCTGCCCCAGGAGCCGGAGGGTAGATCACCGTCTCCCTCCAGGACAAAGGAGGACCCCGGGACCTCCCACTCCGTCCAGTCTGGGGCATGGACCAAGGTGGTCAAGGGCCCTAAGGCCTGCTGCACCAAGGCCCCTGCCCCACCAGAGCTTAGCAACAGGTACGCACCTCTTGCTGCTCCAGCAGAGCCTACTGAGTTGCTAGCTCCCACAGGCAACACAGGCTCACTTGCAGCTACCATCCCCACTCTCCCCAAGACGAAACGTAAGGTGTTTCTTGTGGGAGACTTTATCCTGAGGGGGACTGAGAGGGCAATCTGCCGTCCCGACCCCTTAGCCCAGGAAGTCTGCTGCTTCCC